AAATAGCGTTAAATTATTACTAAACATGGAAAGAACAAAAGAAAAACTTAAGAAATTAAGAAAGATTGGGAATGCATATAGCTACAACTTCATGCAGAAAGGAACCGGCTTTATTTACAACGTCAATAATTTCGCTTTCCTTTGGTAATTTGGTGTAAGAACAAGACTATAAGCTGAATACTAGTTGTTCGATAGCCGCCAATTTAAGTGCTTCAGATGGAACAAACGTTTATACTTCTATTCCTTTATTTCAACCTTTTGTTTTTTAGAATATTCAACTTCATATTCTTGAGTTGATTTCTATGTGCCTTTATTATGTAATTAATAGTACAAACTTTCACGTCATGTTCAAGTTTGATGCACTTTAAGTTTCATTAATTTTTCTTAGATTCTATATTTATTCAATGACTGCGGTTATGGAGCGTGACACAAAGCAACTCATTGTCCTTTTTTCTAATCTATGTTGTTTCACACATTTTGTATAAGTCTTTTCTTTTGAGGCCCATCGATTGTAGAATGCCCTTGTTTTATAGTGCTATCATTTTTCTAAGTGTCAATTATTCAGAAGTTTATGTTGTTTTTAGTGCCATCTTTATTAGAATGTTGCCGTTTTTAATGCAGTGTCGTTTTTGTTATTCATATTTATTTTCAAATTTTGATGTTGTTTATTTTACTACTTCCTGTTCACATATTTTTAATCGTTCCAACGTATCGTCTTTCTTATGTTTTATTTCATTTTTTTTACTGCTTACAATGTTGTCGTTTCCGATGTATGTCGTTTTTCTTACTCATTGTCGTTTCAAGTTGTTATGTTGTTGTTCAGTTGTGATGTCGTCTATCATTGGCCTTTCGAAGTCCAAAATTTGATGTCGCCTTAAAAATTACTGTGGCTTTTTGAATGTTGCGTATTGTCGTTTTCATTTGTTTCATGTTGTTTTAATAATATTGTCGTTTTTTAGCCAAGAGTTCTTATCTTTACACAAGTCTGTCATGTTTTTGCAAGGCTTCTTTTTTGTTTTTCTACTTTTTTTTCTTCTCTCTCTGTCCATGGTCACAGTGACACCCCAACAAACAAGATGCGATTCCTTCATTTGTATATCGGATAACTATTTTTTACGCCGCACGCAAAGGGGCCTTTACCCAAATGCACTTAGAGTGCGGTGCAAGGTTGCAGTGAGAGAATAGTAATAGGAATGGTAATGGTAATAAAAATAATAATGGATTAGAATGAAAAAAAAAATGATTTACTTTTACAAATATAATAAAATGAGATATGAATATTTTTATTTTGACAAAATTACCCCTCATGTTAATATAACTAATATCATATATATTAATATAATCATTTAATAACTAATATTATATATATATATATGTATATATAATTATAAGGATATAATATATATAATTATAATTATCGTTATATAATTATTTATTATTATAATACAATCATAATATATAATATAAAATGATATGTAATATAATATAATATTGATATTGTGATTATTTTATATTATAATGTTACAACTATACTATATTATATTATTAGAAATATAGTATAATTATAAAAAATGTAATAATATAATATGATATAACATATTATAATTATAATATATAATATAGTATATTATCATTTCTAATTATAGTATATTATCTATTATAATATAAATTTATATTGTAATTATGCAACATAATATGATATAATATTATATTACATGATTATTTATAAAATATGAAATTATCATATTTAATTTTATAGAAAATACTACTATCCTAATTATTATTATTATAATTATTTATTACAATATCACAACTATATTATATTATATTTTATTACATTATAATGTTAAATATAACTATTATTATTAATAATTATAATATGACGATTATATTGTATATTATATTAATAATAAATATAATTATAATATTAAATATGGTATATTATAATATACGTATATAATTATAATGTATTTTATTATCTGTTTTAAGATACTATTACATTATAATATAAATTATTATAATATAATATTAATTATATTATGGATATTAATATTATAATATTTATAATTATAATATTTAAGAGTAATGATGGAAAAGAAAATTAAAAGAGCTTGGAATGGGCATTCCTCTCATATGAGGGAGGAATGATGATTCACCTATTTGATGGAAAAGTCATTCCATTTTGAATGGTCATTCCTTTTCTTAAAACCAACCAAACATGAGAATGAACCTTGATTCCTTTCCATTTCTTTCCATTCCCCCCAACCAAACATACCCTAAAAGTTTGCAGACACCATTAATCCCTTTTGTCATCAGGAAAAGAAAAAAAAATGTTGCGATTAACGTGGGAGTTTTAGATAGTCAATATTTGGATCCGAGAGTTATTTTAGGGTCCGTTTAGTTTACTTATTCGAGTTTTTAATTCGAGTTGAGATGTGATTTTATATGAGTGCTTTTTACTGTAGTAAAAAAGTTAGATGTGATTGTTTCTGAAAGGTTTTTACTGTAGCAAAACTCAAATCAGCGAAATGAATGAGACCTTAAACTCTACTGAAAAATCAATGCATGTGCATCTCAACAATCTCATGTACCTTCCGTCAAAAAAAAAAAGAAAGAAAAAAACAATATTAGAAACCTCTAATGTTTCTATAAACCGAGCATATATATGTATATATACATTGAAAATATTGTCTCTTCACATGAAGCTGTGTAATATGGCTTGGAGATATGAACTATAGAATCCAGTTACCCGAGGACTTGACGCGTCTTCTAGTAGAAAAACAAGAGTCGAATATTTTGCCGGAAAAGGATGAGGGCCTTAACGAGTTGGGAAGCTTCGGTAGGAAAGTTTTTCTTCTGTGAAAATAAATCTTCTCATAAATCATATATCTCAATTGTTATGCTAACTTATTTCGTTTAAATTCCCATTAAATTTACAAAGCCTAAAGGAGAGCTCAAGGAGGGACATGTATTCTATGGTTGGAGTTAAGGAGGAATAGACTTTGCTCCTACTTACAAGCAGTACAGCTCAGTGAAAATTTTTAAATTTTACACTTAAATTCTCATTAAAATAATATATGCGTCTATTAAAATAAATATATTTTCTTATATGCTCCTACTAAGATAATTTGTTAAAAAAAATTTAGTGTGCGCCCTTACTGAAGTAAAAGACTGACTCCCAAAACTTAATTAAATTCAAATCAATAAAGTAAACGGGACCATATAATTCCCTCGGAGATGTTCTTACGCTGTACTTTTAGTAATAATAACTATTGGCGTTTTCTTTCAATTGGGTGACTATTGATAATTTCAAGTGGACGAGGTTGAAATTATCGGAAAAAATAGGCTGGACTATTATGAGATGAGACAGATATAATATTTTAAAAATTAATGAGGGATAAATTATAAATTTCAATAGATTTCACATATAAAGTTAAAGGGAAAAAAATTTAAGTGGGGTGACCAACTATTTTAAATTGTATATATGCTCATTATAAAATTTCTTTTTATCAGTAAAAAAAATTAACAAATTTATTTTCGTATTATAGTGGAAATGAAAATTGAAAATGATGGATGAATAGTATAAAATATGACTGAAAGTTCGACTATCACCAGTACTATGACAGTGTTCATATATATATGGCAGGTGTTAGCTTCCAAGTGGAACTGCGTATTTTGAAAATCCTCCCACTTGGTCACTTTTTGTCCCAAATTGTTGCAATAATAAAACTTTGCATGTAAACGAGAAAGCTACTTGTTTCTGTCCCTTTTCCCTCTTTTTTTTTTTCTATGTTTTGTTGTTTTTGTTCTATAGCATTAAAAACACCGAAGAAGGTGACATTTTCCCACTCTCTTCAAAATACTTTTGACCATTTGGATTATCCCTATCTTATTTATTTATTTTTTTATACGTATTATTAATTATGTTATATTAACTACCTCTTCTCTATTGGCCCTTTTCCCTAAGTTAATAAAATGGAGACTTTATTAGCAGTAGAAAGAAAGGTGTTTTAAGTAGGGGTAAATGATGGCTAAAAGTCAATTTAAAAGACTAGAATTCCTAATCTTTCTTTAATCAATCTCTATGAAATTTGATTTCCTTTGGCCAATCCTCCACGTTTAAAGTGCATTTTACGCCAAAGTTCCCACTTCTATTATTTAAAATATATAATATATATATTACTTTCTGTCTTGGCGTTTGTTTCTTCCAAACATCCGTTTGTTTTCATTTAGGCGAAAGACGACTTGTTTTGCTATTTCCACCACTGAAATTCTTGCTTTTAAAAGGGATGGATACTTTAGTTGAATAAATTTGATGATTAAGAAAGCATATATATATATAACGACAACAAACAAGAAAATTCCCACCTTTTAGCTTTCCCTGCGCATTTTAAGAAGTTTAAACTTTGTGTTGTTATAGCGGTTAGTTTCTTTTCATACGCTAACACTTTATTAGGATGCTGAGAATGAAACAGAAAAGAAAGAAAGAAAGAAAGAAAGCAACTGGGTTACAAACTTTGAAGAGAACAAAACATAAAGATTATAACGACAACAAACAAGAAAATTCCCACCATTTTAAGAAGTTTAAACTTTGTGGTGCTATAGCGGTTAGTTTCTTTTCTTATGCCAACACTTTATTTAGGATGCTCAGAATATAACAGAAGAGAAAGATAGAAACTGAGTTACAAACTATGAAGAGAGTCCATCTAAGTGTAAAAAGTAGTAATCAATTCAGTTTACAAAGATTACATATGATTTATTTCCCAGTTTAAGCCATAACGTAATGTCAATATGCCATTTACTAGTTGCAAAAGTTTCTCTAGAATAAATAATACTAGAAACAAATCCAAGAATTGCGATTGCTGGTATAAAAAGAAGTTACAGAAAGCAACTGTAATATCTAAACAAGTAAATAAAAGTACTCATAAAAGCATTTTATGATTAATATGCCTGTTTAATTTCTGTGGGACGGTTGTAATAGAACACACAATTTTCATAGCTTCGTTAAATAAGAATGGCATTATACAACCAAACAGAAAGGCTAGAACCATTAACTAAAGAAGCTAAATTATGCAATAGTGATAATTGTGATAATTACAAATGGATGTAATTTTGAAATGGGGAAATTGTTATAACGCATTACTACATCTCTTTCATACCCTTTTTTTTTTTCCTTAAATTATTTTTCTGCTACATCTCTTTCATTGCTACTTCTCGGGCAACAATAAGTTCCTCTAAATCATCAACATCACCCGTTTCTGTAGGCATCAAAATGTCATCATCAGCTGTGAAATGATATTTCTCTCCTATGGCTCTTAGAAGTTGGTATACTTCAAACATGGTAGGTCTCTCCTTCGGAGTGGCCACTACACAGCTGCAAGCAACTTTAAGGAATTGGAAAAGCTCGCCGTCTACGCCTTTCCCGACCAAGGACTTGTCGATAGCTTCATGCAGCTCGGAGTTGCCAGATAGTTGTGAAATCCACTCTGCCAAATTGCCCTTGAAGATTTCAGGAGCTTTGGAAACATGGGTGGGTTTTTCACCGGTTACTAACTCAAGAAGCACAATTCCAAAGCTATAAATGTCTCCTTTTGGAGTGGCCACCAGAGTCCGGGCGTATTCGGGAGCAACATAACCCAGATCACCAAACTCTCCGTTCACAAAAGTACTCAAATGTGTGTCGACCGGGTTCATGAGTCTAGCAAGGCCAAAATCAGATATTTTGGGCTCAAAATCTGCATTGAGCAAGATGCATTTGGAGCTTATGTTCCGATGGATAATACGAGGATTGCATGTGTGATGGAGATATGCTAACCCTCTGGCTGCACCTATCCCGATCTTCAGCCTAGTTGGCCACTCCAAAGCCTTACCACCCTCCTCCACGAAGTGCAGTCGATTGTGGAGGATGCCATTAGGCATATACCTGTACACCAAAAGCCTCTCCTTCTTCGCCACGCAAAATCCTAAAAGCGGGACTAAGTTGCGGTGCTCTATTTTCCCGAGAGTGGCCATCTCCGACAAAAACTCTTTCTCAGAGTGTTGAGATTCCTGCAACCTCTTGACCATAAGTGAACTGCCATCGTCAAGCACTGCTTTGAACATGGTTCCAGTTCTTCCGGTTCCAATAATATTGTCTTTACTGAAACTATTTGTAGCCTTCATGAGATCACTCAATCTCATTTTTGTAATTGACTTCTCAAACATGGAAACCTGAAGCATACAGTGTTAATCAATCAAACTGAATTTTTTGTAAATTAAAACTATATAAATAACTGTTGTATTTGAAGAAAAAAATGGATTGAAATAGCTTGCCTTAATGCCTTTAGTTCCCTTTAAACTCCTTGCCCATTTGTTTCCTTCCGGATCCTCTTCCTTCTTCCTCACAGCCACTCTACGGAAGAAGAAGGTCAAACCAACACCAACGGCTAATGCTGCAAAAGTTGCACCGCCAACAGCTGATGCCACAATAACCACGGTGCGAGATTTCTTCTGGGGCACCTCACAAGGGTCGAGAAGAGGCCCACAAAGTCCTGGATTATTTGCATAGCTATCTGCCTTTATCTCACTACTTTGAAATTTTGGGACTTGCCCAGTGAGAAGATTGTTGCTCACACTAAATTGCTTAAGCCGAGAGAGCAAGCCAAGCTCTGGAGGAATCTGACCCGTCAACCGGTTATGATCGAGTTTGAGAACATTCAAGTAAGTACAATTTGAGAGCAGCGTCGGGATAGACCCCGAGAAGTTGTTGGATGAGAGATCAAGAGATGTTACATAGTTCATGATTCTGGAGATATTAGTGGGAATAGGTCCAAACAGCTTGTTGTTCGAAAGATCTAAACCGGTTAAGCTCGAGCAATTCACGATTCCCTGAGGGAACAGGCCCTTGAGCCCCATATCCGAAAGGCGGATATTGAGAACTTTGTTCTCATCAGGGTGCCAGCACTCTACCCCAATAAACTTACAGATGTATCCTTCAGTGTTGTTGTTAAAATTCCATGAAGAATTCAAATAGCCATACGGGTCTTCTAGTGACTCTTGTATACTCTTCAAGCAGTTTATATCATTCACAGAAGCAAGGCTTAAGCTTGAATGGATCAAAAGCCATAAAAGAATACCGCCAGAAATGTCAAGAAACCGGCTACTCAGCAACAGATTCTTAGCATATATATACATGTCTGTATATATAGCCACCAAAAATCCCAGAGAAACGCAGCTTGATCTCTCCTTAATAGGAGCTTAAGACAATTACAAAAACAGGAAAAAAGCCAAGAATTAGCCCAATTTTTCGGAGCTAAAAATAAAAACTCACATAAGCCTAGCTTCAGTAACAACAGCAAAAGCCTACAAACAAAATTCCAACATAATATGGGGAACCAATTCAGTTCTACAATTTTGCTTATACAAAACGCAAAGAGAGTCAAAATTTAGCTGACCCAGTCGAGTTGACTCGGTGGTAAACAACGTAAATGCGTATATTTCTTAAATAAGACAACATAAAAATAAAAAATAAAAAATAGCAGCTAGAAATGAAAGTTTGTGTGAGAGAATTCAAAGACCCACCTGGGAATTCACAACCCAAACTCGGAGACAAGAACAGAAAACCCACTAAAGGGTTCTTGAATCAACTACGGGACTGGGTAACTCCATCGTCTAACAGAAAATAATTAAAAAAAAAAAAACCAAGTCCAGAAAGAAGTCCAAGTCTGTTATTATCTTGAAGCCATGACGAAATTCAGAGTTTTTTGCATAAATAGAAAGGAAATCGGAGAGGAGTGTGAATGGTGACTAAGTTTGGTGGGGAAAAAAAAAAGAAAAAAGCTGGGATGCGTCTGATTTGGAAGAGAGGGATTGAAAGAGAAGAAATTGGAGAGAGAGAGAGAGAGAGAGAGAGAGATTTTAACGGGTCAAATAAGGGCGGCCATTTTTGTCAAGCTTAGCGACGACTTGGACTGATAGAGAGCACCAAATAAACTTTTTATTTTAGAGCGCTTGACTTAATTTTTCGCATTGATTGTTAAGGTTTTTAATTAAACAATAATAAAGAAAATAACATTATGCTATAAATAAAGAAAATAACATTCTGCTGTAAACATTTCATATTAATATTATTTTGAAGCAAGAAGAAAATATAAATAAACGTCGAACATTTTAGTTGAACGAGGTTAATTTGACGAACTCTTTCTTTCTTTTTCTTTTTTTTTTTTTTAAAGGTCTTTCGACTTTCAGTAGTGCTTTTGAGTGTTTTAATACATTTTTTCCTTCTTTTTGAAAAAAAATAATATTTATTTTCTCCTTCCCCTAATCCGCTTTAAAAAATAACTTTTTTCCCTTTTTCTCATTGAATTTTTTCCCTCTATGTGTATAAATAAATTCCACCGTTATCGTGTTTTGTCTTGTAAAAAACGCGTCTTCACCATTTTCAGTCTTCACCTGTTCAATCCTAGCCCTTGCCATTCTAAATATTTTCCTTGGTATATAATATTGGCTGGGATTTTGGTTTAAAATCTTCTTGTTGTTGGTAGATTCTTGAATTTTTTGATGAATAGGAAAATTCGTGAATTAAATTTAGTAGCATTAGTTCCCTTTCCCCACCCAAACCAAAAAAAAAAAAAAAAAGAGTAAATTATTGATCAGGATAGACGGCAGATTATGCAGTGATATTATGTATTTTAAGAGTAATGTTTGGAGCACTTGCTTGTCAAAAAAATAATTAAAAAAAAAAGAAAAGAAATAGCAATACTAATACTAATACAACAATAATAATTTACTTTAAATAAGGGAATCGCAATTCCCACCTCGAAGAAATATGTAAACGAGCCCTTTTTATTATTATTAATACTAAGACTTCTTGTATGGTTTAATGACCGGACCCCACTTTATTAGTTTTTACATCAACTTTTTTTCTATCGGTAGAAAAATGGAAAATGTAAGTTTTAACAGTTAGATTAACTCTCTAACAATTTGATTTATGATAGTAGATTATTTTATGTTGTGAGTTTTAAATTTTTACACGAGTTTTTACTGGTAGAGATGGGATAGTTCCTATTGTAACAATTATCAATTTATTGAATCATCATTTTCAAATTTGTATTGTTAGGCCAACATATATCTAAAATGGAAGTAATTCAAAGTAACGCATACTGTAACTCTAAATTTGTTTGGATTAAAGAAAGAATTAGAGAATTGGAATGCGAGATCTGAATTAGAAATGTCTCTAAAAATGAAGAAAGAAATAAAACAATCATTTTGGGGAGGAATACTATTTTTTCCACAAAGGTCGCCAATAATTGCTCAATGATATCGATTGAGATTTCAATAAAATTTCAATTAGTGACCAATTTAGAGTTTTCTCCTCCAATTTTGGGTATTGTAAAAATTTTCCCTATAAATTAGAAAAACGTGGCATTCATATCGATTTAGCTTTGAAACCTTAATAAATTTGCCCCGTTGTTTAGTTGGTCCACAGAGGAAAAACATAAAGAAAGAAAGAAACCTACATGGCATGCGCGTGATTCTTCAAAATCGCAAGTTTAAGTTCACATGCTGAATTATGTTGAGTTGTAGAGTTTAATTAATTGTTCCGACGATTTATTGTCTTACACAGAAAATTACATAAATTAATCTTTAATAGAGGACATCATTTTTAGGTATTATTAGAGATGTAAGAAAACACATAGAATTAAAAGGTATGCGATTTTTTCTTTTAACTTTTTCTCTGTCATAGTGGAAAAATTTGAATGACTAAAAGATGACGTAATCTCAATTAAGACGAACTTCTATAAATTACGTGTGTCAATTTTCACTTAATTTCTTTTATTGTGATTTTTATTGCTCTGAGTAATTGAAATTAGAGCGTCTAATTCTTAACAAGTTCAAGACTAAAAGCTTATTTGATAAGATGATTTGTAGTCGTTTGGTAGATAAAAATTTTGAAGAGAATAAACTGAGTGCAGGATTTCAAATCCTTCAAATTATTTAAATTTTAATCGCTCCAAATGAAGATATTATACTGGGAAATAGGCATTTTTTTATTAGACACAAAAGAAAGATACTCTCACTCCTCACTACTTTTTCCTATATAAGTTATATATCCTTATTTTCTTTCTCTCTTAGTATAAGTAACCTAAAGGTCTAGTCCACCCCTTTTCACAATCGCGTAGTTAGAAGACATTTGATTTATGGATTAGAATCATGAGATTAGAATTATTTTTTATTTACGTGTATTTTTTGTGAGAGAAAATACTGTAGCGAACCACAAACCATGATTCGAATTAAGAGACGAATCCCCCAACCAAACAACCCCTTAGTTATTATTTATAATGTTATAGTCCTAACAAAACAAAACAAACATGTGAATATTGCATTGCATATTTTTATATGATATAGGTTAGATTATTGTGGAAACTGATATACTGGATTAAACTTGTTAGAGTTTGTATTTGATTTTCTATTTTCTACAATAACGTACAAAAATTAGAATATATAAGAATATATATTCTTCTTAAATGCAGTGTTACAAGATAAAATATTTGTCATAACTTAAAAAAGAATGAGGTATTTATTTATTGTCGCTGTATGTTTTCAAAATCATTGTTACACAAATTAATACCTTATTGGATCTTATTTTTACATGTTAAAAGTGAAACTATTTGGCTAAAATTATATTGAAACTAGATAATATATGCATTTTAATAGTTTTAATGAAAATTTATAATTTAGAACTCCACATTACTAAGCATGTTCAGTTGCATTTTTGAGTTATGGTGACTTGAGTGTAGATCTTGAGTTGAATTTGAGTTATAACTTGAATTGAAGTCGTAACTTGAGTTTGTATTTGTGTTTGAGTGAGTCAAAACTTGAGTTTGTATTTAGATACAGTATTTTAATAAAAACTCAATGATGATGAAAATTTTTTATAGGGTATATGGGTGGAATTTTATTCGTCTTTTCGTTGTGAACGCATAAAAAAAAGAATCATCTCAATTGGAATTAAAACGAAAAAGTTATACGTTTTTAAGAATATAAAAAAATAATGTTTATTAACTTAAATTTGAGTTTAGGATATTGAGTTGAATGGAGAATTTGAACTCAGATTTTAACCCCAAACTCAAGTTAAAATTCAAGTTCAAACTCAAATTTTACAAAAGAACATGAACTTGAATAAAGTTGTAACTCCAGTTCAAACTTTTTTTGAATTTGGGTGCAAACGAACAATACAATTTCTAACTCTATAAAAAGAATTATCCGAACTTACACGTAAGGGTAGTCTTGGTCATTTTGAAGGAAAATCCATCAAGTAAACATAAAAAAGATTAAACATATCTGTTTAGGACCTTTTTTAGTACTCTAACATACTAGTAGACTAAGTTTTATGTGTTGAGAATACTGTCCTAGAAGCATGAGATGTAATATGATATTTATTATTTATTTAATAAAAGAGTTTATTCATCATTTAATGTGCATATATTTATGAATATTTTATGAATATCAAATGAAAATTCCGTGATTATTTATGTAACCTTAAACATTGTATATAAGTGTTATATACGTGAGGATAATGTTTAAAGATAATAATCAATAACGTTATTCATAATGAATTTAATTAAAGTTCAGAATCTTTAATTAAAACATTATTAATAAATGTCATTCTCATTTAGAATGGAACGGTGCTATCCGTACTGTTAATATGGTGAGATATTGAATGAGTGTATTTCGCATAATGAGATTATGTGGAATAGGGACACAGACACAATATGAATTTATAATAATTTTCGTTAAAGTATAGAAATTCTAATTGAGTCTACCGATGGTCATATATAG